AACACATACCTCAATGGACAATAATAATGCCGCCCGAGGTGGATGAAGCCCTCGCCGTCGACGAGCGGCTGGGCTTGGTGGGAAAAGCGTCGCCCGCTCACCGGAAATCGCTGCGGTGAGGGGGCAATGAGGAAGGGAGAAGATGGGTGGGTGGGGGGATGAAACTGACTAATGGAGTGAATGGGGGGGGGGTTAACTGCACTTTTTCGTGTGGGGGTAGGTGCGGAAGCAGTTCGCCCGTGGCCATGTTTGAGCGAACTGCTACGACAGTCTGATGTGGCACCTGTCGATGCTTGACGATTCGTGCGCATGAAACTTGTGGTTTGATGGGCATTCGCTGGCTCTTGGCTCCTGGCTGGCGTAGGCCAATTAAGATTTCCCTTTCTTTAATGGGCCGTGCTACGCGTCAGCCGGCTGATCTTTTTAAAAGATCCGCCGCCTCAGCAGCCACTAGACCCGACACAATCCAACGACTCAGCCCTTCCTCACCATTGCAACAAAGGTTGTGTTTCATTTTATTGCAACAGAGCTCATGTCGCAGAAACATTTGCAACAGAGATTGTGTTGCAAAGAAAATCCGTCTTCACTTTTTTTGCAACATAGATGATGTTGTGAAAATGACTTCTGCAACATGGACGTTGTTGCAAAAAAAATCATAATAAAAAATGATGTCGTAACAACACCGTCGTTGTTGTCGTCGCCATTTTGCAACTGTGTCGTTGCAGCAGAAATTCGTCGGTGTGCGGCGACATGGTCGGACACGGGCAACTTTCGCTGGTGATGTTGCATTTTTTCACTTTTTTGCAACATGGAAGTTGTTGCGAAAGATATTCTTGCAACATAGATGTTGTTGCAGAAAACTTTTTGGTTTCTTCACGCGTCGCGCATAACCGTTAGAAAAAAGTACTAGATGGACCCATACTCCCATACAAGACATGTATCGCAAGAAGTAGATGAAGAATGCTTGCACGGGATCGGCCGGCTGAAGGCAAACATTTCCCTTTTTTAATACTCCCTTCGTTCATTTATGTAAGGTGTATTATTTTCGGCACGGTGACCAAGGCACATAATTATAGATAAGTTAGGACGAAATTACCCTTGCAAAAAAGGAAGTAAACGAGTTAACCCAGGAAAGTAAGAGAAACATGCAATCGATAGAGGGATAATTTTCTTCTTTTGCTATAAGGAAAGATATACACAATCATGATAGAGATACTTTTCTTTTTTTAGATGGTTAATAAGGGAATTATGAGGAATTAGAAGAAATGCACGTACATTCTACAATTTTATAGAAAACAAATACGCATTATATAAAGGAAGGGAGTACTGTGTACAGTACAGTAGTTATTATCGAGCTTTGTCAAGCTATCAACGAGCTCGGAGTCTGAACTCAGGCAGGCGAAATTGACCTCTCGTCGCGCCGCCGCCGGCAACTAGGCTCTGACGGCACCTTCTCTCTCAGTTCTCCTCCTCATCCGCTCTACAGGACTGGCTTGGGGTGGAGGTTTGCCCGGCCCCGGGCTCGAATTGATCTGGTGACGGACCCTACTTCTTTTGTTCGCTGTGAGCACTGTGTTCCCAATCTCTCCTTCCGGGACTGATACCCCAATCTAGGGCACCCCTGAGTACCTTACCACCCCAAGCCTCTTACATCGATTCCCCGCTGTCTTCACCCGGACCGTGATCTTGGATATTGGTTGAGGTATGAGCCTTTTTTCATCCAGTGATTTTAGTTAAACCCCATTGACCTCGGACAATGCTTCGGTGCCTTAAGGCACCTACCTTTGTGTCTATGACATGTGGGTCCAACAGGTGGCTGGCCCATATGTCAGTGACCCAAAGGTAGGTGCCTTTAAGGCACCGAAGCTGTGTCCATTGACCTCCACAAATTCGGGGGCGTGCAGGCGCACACTCTAGATCTGCCCCTGTCACATCACGCCATTGCATAGCGGCACCATTTAAGGGCACGGGGATGATAATAAGCTTTAAAACTTGTTTACTTGTCTAATCGTAGCTGTGCCGCAATGCCATTCTTAGGCGTCATAATTTGCGTGGCTCCCGTTAAGGAGTCTTGGCTCTCTCTGGAACATGGCAGGTCCATTGTCAAGCTGAGTGCATCAGCCATGTTTTTTTTTCTAGCATTGAATGCATCGGATATGTTAATATCATGCTATTCCATAACCTTCATTTGGTAAAGTTACAGGAGACAACTACTGATGTCAGTAATTTCGTGTTGAATTTTCAGGGAAGTGTGTGTGTGGTACTTTTATGGTTGGCCAAATGCAGATATCTTGGCCATCCACGATTGTAGAGCTCATCTTGGGCCTGCTATGGCACCTCGTCCACCTGTTGGTCAGCCTCTTTGATTTGTGGTCGCATCTGAGTGATAATCTAGAATGCTATCTTATTTCGTCTGAGCTGCTGCCTAAGTACCAAGATCTTCATTTTGAGAGACTTAATTACGTGGGCGTTGTAGTAGATAGCAGAGAAGCAAATAATGTTTTGAAGATCAAGCAACTTTTATGGTGGTTATCGACTATTGGCGTCAAGTATGTAGTTCTCTATGACATTGAAGGTGTGCTTATGAACATTTGCTTTACATGCTTACTTGTTTGAGTACATATGATCTTATTCTTTTCAACTCTTCTTGGCCTATCCTTACCTAAGCATAGAACTCTTTATTTCTCAATATAATGTGGCAGAGTGCTTGCCTTTGACGGTGAGAAAAGAACAAGAAAAAACGAGTTTATTAACAATATGCGGTATTAATAACTGTGCGTTCTGCTTTATTTTAACGGTTTGCCCTTCAAGTCATCTTCCATAAATCTATGCCGTGGGAAAAACAGCCTTCAAATTTTATGTATTTTGCATGAAACTACTTTGAAACTCCGCCTATGTTGCCTAGGTAAAGGAGGAGGGTTGTGATAGGCTTGGCGAGCCAACATAAAAACTCAACCATTCCGATGGAGATGAAACCCAAAAGAACATCTTTGGGGCATAACCCTCTTAGCGATGTGCCATATCGGGACCCGGGTGTGGTGTTAAATGGGTAAGGGCCAGGCCGTCACCCCCTTGGTGGTGCACCGTACCTTGATCTGGATACGGTGATAAGTGAGCAAGGATCAGGTCGTTTCATCCCTAGTGGCGCTCTACATCGATGCTCGGGTGTAGTGAAAAATGAGCAAGGGTCTTCGCATTTGATTCAATGAGTGCGAAGAGTAAGAAAGCTAGCCGAGCCAAGTAGGATCTGCTTAGGTCACTGGAACGTAGGGTCTCCAATCGGTAAGTTATAGGAGTTTGTTGATACAACGGTGGGGAGAGGCATTGATATCCTTTGTGTCCAAGAAACCGAATGGAAGGGACATAAGGCGAAGGAGGTGGAGGATATCGGCTTCAAGCTGTGGTACACGGGGACAACTACAAACAAGTATGGAGTAGGCATCTTGATCAACAAGAGCCTCAAGTCTGGAGTGGTAGACGTCAAGAGGCAAGGGGACTGGGTTATCTTGGTCAAGCTGGTCGTTGGGGACTTAGTTCTCAATGTTGTCAATGCGTATGCCCCAGAAGACAATGAGAGCACCAAGAGGGAGTTCTGGGAAGGCCTGGTGGACATGGTTAGGAGTGGGCCTATTGGCGAGAAGCTCTTCATATGAGGAGACCTCAATGGCCATGTGGGCACATCTAACACAGGTTTTGAAGGGGTGCACGGGGGCTTTGGTTATGGCAGCAGGAATCAAGGAGAGGATGTCTTAAACTTTGTTTTAGCCTACGACATGATCGTAGCAAGACCCTCTTTAAAAAGAGAGAATCCCATCTATTGACTTTCAGTAGTGGTTAACACTAGCCATATTGATTTTGTCCTCTCGAGCAGAGAAGACGAACGTGCTTGCCTAGATTGTAAGGTGATACATGGAGAGAGTGTTGTCCCTCAACATAAACTTCTGGTAGCGGACTTTCGCTTCCGGATATGTGTCCAACAAGATAAGCGCGCCAAAATCGCTAGAACGAAGTGATGGAAGCTCAAGAGGGAGGCAGCTCAGGCTTTCAAGGAGAAGTTTATTAAGGAGGGCTCTTGGGAGAAAGGAGATTATGCAAACAATATGTGAGGTCAAAGCGAAGCTAAAGACACTTGATGGTGGAACGATGATTTCCAGAAGGCTATTAAGGAGAAGAAAGACTGTTTCAGACGCCTATACCTGGATAGGAGTCCAGACAACATAGAAAAGTATAAGGTGGCAAAGAAGATTGCAAAGCAAGTTGTGAGCGAAGCAAGGGGTGGAGCGTATGAGGACCTCTACCAGTGTTCAAACATGAGGGAAGGCGAAAGAGAATCTATAAGATGGCCAAGATCCGAGAGAGGAAGATGAGAGATGTCAACCAAGTCAAATGCATCAAGGATGGAGCAAATTGACTCCTGGTGAAGGATGAGGAGATCAAGAATAAATGATGAGAATACTTTAACAAATTGTTCAATGGAGAGAATGAGAATTCTCATTGAGCCGGACAACTCCTCTGATCATACCAATAGACATTTTGTGCAACGAATTCAAGAGTCTGAGGTCAAGGAGGCTTTAAAAAGGATGAAGTAAGGTGAGGCGACGGGTCCTAATTGTATCCCAATTGAGGTGTGGAGATGCCTTGGGGAATATTGACAGTATGGCGAACTAAGCTTTTCAACCTCATTTTCGGACAAACAAGATGCCCGAAGAATGATGAAGAGTACATTAGTACCAATCTTCAAGAATAAGAGAAAAGTTCAAAGTTGTACTAATTATTGTGGAATTAAGCTGATGAGCCATACAATGAAGCTATGGGAGAGAGTGTCATTGAGCACCGTTTAAGAAGAATAACAAGCGTGACAAAAAATCAGTTTGGTTTCATGCCTGGGAGGTCGACCATGGAAGTTATTTTCTTGGTACGACAAATTATGGAGAGATAGAGGTAGCAAAAGAAGGACCTCATATGGTGTTCATTGACTTGGAGAAGGCTTGTGACAAGATACCGCGGAATGCCATGTGGTGGGCCTTGGAGAAACACAAATTGCATTCCTCATGTACGATAATGTTGTGGCAAGTGTTCGAACAAGTGATGGAGACACTGATGACTTTCCAATTAAAACATGACTTGCACCAAGGGTCAGCTTTGAGCCCGTATCTTTTTTGCTTTGGTGAGGTCACAAGGGATATACAAGGAGATATCCCATGGTGTATGCTCTTTGTGGATGATGTGGTGCTAGTTGCTGATAGTGGGACGAGGATTAATAGAAAGTTAGAGTTGTGGAGACAGGCTTTGGAACTGAATATTAGGCTTAGTAGAACTAAAACTGAGTACATGAGGTGCAGTTTCAGTACTACTAGGCACGAGGAGGAGGAGGTTAGCCTTGATGGGCACATGGTACGTTAGAAGGACACGTTTCCATTATCGGGGTCCATGCTACAGAAGGATGGTGATATTGACAAAGATGAGCCATTGAATCAAACCTGGATGGATGAAGTGACGCCAAGCTTCAGGCGGCCTATGTGACAAGAGAGTGCTACAAACACTAAAAGGCAGGTTCTATAGGACGGCGATTCGACCGGTGGTGTTGTATGGCACAAACTGTCGGCCAACTAAAAGGCGGCATGACCAACAGTTAGGTGTAGCAGAGATGTGCATGCTGAGATGGATGTTTGGCCACACAAGAAAGGATCGGGTCCAGAATGTTCATATACGTCATAGAGTTGGGGTAGCACCAATCGAAGAGAAACTTGTCCAACATCGTTTGAGATGGTTTGGGTATATACTCCCTCCGTTTTTATTTACTCTGCATATTAGAGTTGACTGAAGTCAAACTTCGTAAAGTTTGACCAAGTTTATAGAAAACAATATAGACATTTACCGTAATAAATCTATACAATGTGAAAGTACATTCAATAATAAATCTAATGTTGTTGATTTGTTATTGTATATCTTAATATTTTTGCTTATAAACTTGGTCAAAGTTTGTAAAGCTTGACTTTGACCAAAGCTAATATGCGAACTAAATAAAAACGGAGGGAGTACAACGTAGGCCTCCAGAAGCACCGCCACATAGCGGAAGGATAAAGCATGCTGACAATGTCGAGAGGTCGTGGTAGACCAAACTTGACATGGAGGAGTCCGTTAAGAGAGACTTAAAGGCCTGAAATATCACCAAAGAATTAGTTATGGACAGGGGTGTGTGAAAGTTAGCTATCCACGTGCCACAACCATGACTAGGTTTCGAGATCTTATGGGTTTCAACTCTAGCCTACCCCAAATTGTTTGAAATTGAAAGGCTTTGTTGTTGTTGTGCATGAAACTACTTTGGACAATTTGAGTTGTGCATCAGATACTGAAAGGAGAAAATAACTAAACCTGGAACCTTTATAACATCCAACTAAAAAGGAAAGGGAACATGTCTCCAAACGCAGATCCTTTTGGTATAACATAAATAAGCCAAGATGAGTACCATGTTTCCTGTTACTTCTCAGTTTCCTTGCACTGACTATTGCACAATCAACGGTGCAGAGAGATATGTCTGACCATTCGACAATGCTCTACAGGAGTACTGAAGGAATGGCTTAAACCTGGTATCGAAACCCCAAGAGATGAGAACTCAAGAACTAATTTAGTAAGTTGCTTAATGCAGAATTCTGTTGGCCCATTTGCTGTCTAAGATATGGACTATGGTAATCTTTGTCTGTTCGTTGATTAGTATATTTATCACTCTTATAACTATTATGTCATCCATGTGAGCCTGTAGGATCTTAGTGCACATGGGGGGATGACTATAGAGTGTCTTTCTGGTTCTGATGGCAAGGAAGGCATTGCTAAAGCAGCAAACTTACTGTGCTCAGACTTCTGCAATCGCAACACTCATGGGCATAATAAAGGTGACAATGCATTTACAGAAGCTGACATGGTTTGTGCACTGAGAGCAGTAGGTAAGTTTGGAAAAATTATCTCCTCCCAGTTATTACATTTTACCATATTCATTTCTCAGTTAGGAATTTGTACATTGCAATTCTGGAAGAACACTTACTGTTCCAATCTTTTCGTTAGGTAGTGGTGGGCCAGAACCTGATCTTCTTCTTGTGTATGGTCCTGTTAGATGTCATTTAGGATTTCCTGCATGGAGATTACGTTTCACAGAGATTATGTAAGTTTTTCTTCCATTTACACAATTCTCACTAGTTTCCATGCTCAAATCACATTCAAAAATCATTCCACCTGAGGGTAAGGGGATCATGTGCGCTCACTGGTTTATGCTTATTGTACATTACTGAAGTTACTTATTTTCTTTTACTACTAAAATATTATTTTTATTGTGTGTGCAGGCATATGGGCTCGCTGAAATCAATGAAATACGGTTCTATTGTGAAAGCTTTGCATCGATTCTCACACAAATATCAAAATTATGGTAACCCCATATTTCAGCTTGGCAATTTCGACTGTACTGCAACAAAACTCTTTAGTTTTTACCTTTACCGTAGGTTACACAAAATATTCTGTACTTGAAGTGTACAGGCATGTTAGCAAGATTCAGTTTGTAACATTTTGTACATGTACCTTAAGATGCTTACATAATAGGAACTGGTGAAATTGATCAGTGCTCCATACTTTTTTTTTTGTTATATTTCTGCCAGCCCTGTCAAACAAATATACATAGAAATGTTTAGTGTCATTTCCAGGGGTTTGGAAATACACAAACGCACAAGTGTAATTAGAAACTGTGGACATCAGCTTGGCCATCAAGCTTAAACAGGAGAAACTAGAAGCTACATCAGGCAGAACTCAAGTTTGATGACTAAAACAAACCAAATAGTTTGTATCAAGAAACCCCTCGGCAGAAACAAAGATGCCAAGAAAAGGAAAACTACCAGAACATATCAACCCGCAAATCCACACTTCAATGAAGTCTGTTCAGATGATTCAGGTTCTACTAGTATTTTAGCTTACCACTGCCACCAACATTGTGTTTGTATTCTTCAGTAATTTTTCCCATCACCACATCATTGGCTTAATCCTATATATACTAGAGTTATAAAATCCGAAAAAATCCTCCTCCAAAAAATCATATAATTTCTCATCCTCCATAACTCCGTACATACTACAGATAGACCAAATGATCTTGACATCCTCCCATGCCGCCAATTTCCAACAAAATCCATCAACCTGTCACAGTCTGAATGGTTGATTACATGTCCCTAAGGGTAATGTTTGGATTTTGTGACCAAAGTGTACCGTATACATTGTTTGCCCATGATTTTTTTTAATATATTTTTGGACAGTTACCAACATTTTGGCATGCCAATGCTCCTTTGCCAATTCCAGTTCAATTTTTAGCCAATGTTGGCCAACACACGGGGAAGCAAAATCTCAACAAAAAAAAAGGCTAGCCAGCCAATGTTTGGCAGGGCAACCTTAGGCATAAAGCAAACACACCAAAGTGTTTGTGCCTCTAATTTGCAAAGATACTCCATACCAAGTTCTGATATCTCTTTTTTTGGAGGCATTGCACTGTCATAGTTTTTCATAGGAATTTCTTGTATTAGTGGTCTTCAGATCTGATTAAACAACAGTGCCATTCATAAGTATCAGAATCTGGTTCGTTTTTAGTAAATTGTATTATCACCTTAACTAACTATAACCTTTTGTCTATCAGGTAAATGAGAGGAGACAAGAAAGCCACCCATTTTGTTATGTAAAATGTGTACTTCTGGAGCGAGCTGAAGTTTATTAACTACAATATATAGTCTTGGCGGATACACTGTGCTTCCTTTTTGTTTGGATCAAATGGGTTACCTGTAGAACATACAGGTACAAACCTCATCCAACATATTTATCTTTTCATCAGAATGTAACAGACTGGCAGCACAGTGATTGTTTTGTGGAGAATTAAAGATCCAATTGTCTTTACCTTGTGAAAATTCACTTTGGTCTCGTATCACCGCACACAATATTAACCGCCAAAGTATATATTTGTACTATTAATTTATTGAAGAAATTTGATGATTTAGTAATCCGAAAGATCCCCTTATCCAGATGGTGATACATGATAGGCTCATATGGGCAACCATGATATCTCATATCCCACTGAATGCATACTCTCTAGCCAGACACAAAAATTGCAACTGTCTGTGCTGTCCACAAGCTGCTGAAAAATCTGAGCCAAGGGAATGCAGTTAAGCAGCCTCAGCTGCTGAGAGGCCAGGTGGCAGCCCCCTTATCCCAGCGCACCCGCCACATGGCGGGCTTCTACTGGGTCCACAGATGCCCTCATCCGCTGAGGCTCCACCTCACATCGGAATAAGATTTCCCTGACCCCACCCCCGCCCAGCCTCAGGCGCACGTTCCTCTCTCCTTTTGTAGCAGTGGGTGAGTTTTGGAGCACACACTTTCATCTCAGTCTGTACCACACACCACGCCTGCCTCATCTCTCGGAGCAGCAGCAGGAGGAGCTTGCAGGAACAATGGCGGCCCAGGGTCTTCTCTCTGGGAGGCAGCTGCTTGGGAGGCCTCTGCAGTCTTCCATCTCCAGGTCGTCTTCCTCCCGGAAGTCCGCCTTCGTCGTCAGGGCATCGTCCAGCCCCCCTGCCAAGGTCAGTTCGACTCTAGCCATGCGGCATGTTTTCTTCTGATCTACTCCCTCCGTTCGGAATTACTTGTCTCGAAAATGGATGTATCTAGAACTCAAATACGTCTAGATACATCCATCTCTGCGACAAGTAATTCCGAACGGAGGGAGTAATTAGAGCTGGCTGGAGTGGCTACTAACTTTCTCTTTTGTTCTTCTCTTTCAGCAAAATGACAACAGGCAGCTGTGGTTCGCGTCCAAGCAGTCCCTCACCTACCTGGACGGCACGTAAGTCTTGGCGCCGTAACATGTTACACCTGGTGCATGTATGTTGGCAGTGTGGCAAAGAGAAGCTGATTTTGGAGGTGTTGGGTTTTGTGCCTTGCAGGCTGCCCGGTGACTTTGGCTTCGACCCCTTGGGGCTGTCCGACCCGGAGGGCACCGGCGGGTTCATCGAGCCCAGGTGGCTGGCCTACGGCGAGATCTTCAACGGCCGGACGGCGATGATGGGCGTGGTGGGCATGATCGCCCCGGAGGCCCTGGGCAAGGTGGGCCTGGTGCCCCCGGAGACGGCGATCCCGTGGTTCCAGGCCGGCGCGATCCCGCCAGCGGGCACCTACCAGTACTGGGCCGACCCCTACACGCTCTTCGTGTTCGAGATGGCGCTCATCGGCTTCGCGGAGCACCGGCGGCTCCAGGACTGGTACAACCCGGGCTCCATGGGGAAGCAGTACTTCCTGGGCCTCGAGAAGTACCTCGGTGGCTCCGGCGACCCCGCCTACCCCGGCGGGCCCATCTTCAACCCGCTCGGGTTCGGCACCAAGAGCGAGAAGGAGATGAAGGAGCTCAAGCTCAAGGAGATCAAGAACGGCCGCCTCGCCATGCTCGCCTTCCTCGGCATGTCTCTGCAGGCCATCTTCACCGGCGTCGGACCCTTCCAGAACCTCCTCGACCACCTCTCCGACCCCGTCAACAACAACATCCTCACCAGCCTCAAGTTCCACTAGGCGAAATCCATCCGATCCGATCCGAGCATCGTCGTCCTGTGCATGGTACCCGTCGTCGTGGGAAACGTGAGCGTGCGAGAGGTATATATGCGAGGGTGGGTGTAAAATGTAAATTTGTACGCGTGCTGCGTGCATGCTTGTAATATTTATATCGTGCTATGAAAATTAGTGCATTGCATCTCTCATCATCTTCACCAACGTCTGTGTCTTTCTTTCCCCGCTCCTCTTCTGGTTATTGTACGTGCATTTTTTGCATGGTAATACGTGTCTCATTTATATCATAAAGGTCATAGTACAAACCACGTACAAACCGATCTGAAAAAACTGAAAAGACAACAAACGCTAGTGGCTGTATCTTTTTTATAATTCTCATAAATAAAATGGTTATTTACAAATGAGAAATTTTAAAGCTACATGTGATTTTTCTGTCAAAATAAAGTGAATTGTTGCTGTAAAAACACACGTGAATTTTGGGAAAAGGTTTATCACAGGATGCAAGCAAATCTGAGTGGCTGTGGCTGTGGTTTCTTCTATGCTTACTGTGACGAAGTTCTTAAATCGGGCCGGGCCAAGAAACGCGTTGGAATTGGGCCAGCTTTTAACCGGTCCAGGTTAGATCATCCGCGACGCAGCCGTCGCCGTCTTCTTTCGTCTCTCCTCGACGGCTGCCCTGCCCAGATGCTTCCCCTCCTCCGCGCGCGCCCCTCCGCTTCCCGCCTCCGCCGCCGCTTCCTCTCCGCGTTTGCAGCGGGCGGGACGCCTCCGCCGCTGCGCTCCGGCGTAGTGTACGCGTTCGGTGACAACAGCCACGGGGCCGTCGGCCAGCCTGCGCCGGCCGCGGACGTCTACGTCCCCACGCCCGTGCCCTCCCTCCCGCCGTCCGTCGATGCGGTCGCAGCCGGACACTACCACTCCCTCGCCGTATCCTCTGCCGGGGAGTTCTGGGCGTGGGGGCGCAACGAAGAGGGCCAGCTCGGCCGCGGGCTCCAGGCCCCGAGGTGATCTAACCCTCCTCCCCATCTCCTCTGCCCTTCGAGGCGAGTCAGTATATGAATTGAACTAAATGAGTTGGTGTTACTTACCTATATCAATTATACCCATTGCAATTTTACTGAAGTCTGCAGAGTATCATGATTCATGATAGGGGTTATGTATGCCAGTATGAGTTCATGCCAAAGCGATGAATTATTTATTCCAGTATGCAGCACCATTTCTTTCTGGCCCAGATAATGAGCAACAGTGATGTGCTTGTTCAGTACTACCAGCATAACAAAGATGCTGAAGAATGGCTCACATAACGTGGTCACTTCTTTATTGAAATATAATAACGTGGCCACTTGCTGATGTATGCCGCACACGCACACCTTGCACTGCTTTCAGTTTTCATATTGAGTCTATTCTGATCAGAGCATTCAAACCTTAACATGGAAAGCAAGCATCAACCATACTGGTATGATGCAACCATATTTTTCTTGCCCATGCTAGCCTTAAATAAAATACTAGCCAATGGCATGAGTTAAAATTGTAGCTCAAAACCTCAACTGATTATTTGTGTTATTCATAGGTGTTATTTAACACTTACCAAGTGTATAGGTGCAATGCTTTACCATTCTGCTAAATGACAGGAATACTTGGAGCAATCCAGAACAGGTGAGAGGATTGGAGAATGTTCAAGTTCGAGCTGTATCCGCTTCAGGTGTTGTTTCCGCAGCAATTGGGTGCGATGGCTCGTTATGGGTATGGGGGAGATCAAAGCGTGGCCAACTTGGGCTTGGCAAGGACATTGTGGAGGCCACAATGCCTTCTAGAGTGGAGGCCCTTGCTGGTTACGATGTTCTTAAGGTGATAACTTTTGCCCTGAAATGAACTAATTGGATGTTGCTCACTAGTGAGGCAATGGTTTAATGAAGCGAAAATGGTAGGTATCATTTGGATGGGGGCATGCCATGGCACTGACAAAGGATGGAGGGCTGTTCGGTTGGGGTTTTTCAGAAAATGGAAGGTTAGGAGATATGGGTCAAAGTACCGAAGCACCTTCTCCACAAGAATACATTGGGAAAACAAGGGATAAGTATTCGAGTTCAATGTTGGAGGCTGTTGAAAAGATGGTTGCGGACAAAATTCGGAGCGAAGACAATATGCCCATCATCTGGGAACCTTCTCTTGTTCATGAAGTGACTCATCTTGATGTGTCTGATGTTTCCTGTGGACTTGATCATTCCCTAATTCTCTGCTGTGAGTATTTCTTTTCACCTACAAAATTGAAGCTCTTATGCGCACTTGCTATGCATAATGTTTCTGTTGTACTTATTTCTCTCTCTCTCTCTCTCTCTCTCTCTCTCAAGGTAGTAGTGTTTAATAGGACTTAGGGCATTGTTGCGTCTGCATATTTTTTTTAGTATTCACAATGAGTTCGAACTTGGAAATAGCAGCTTTATATTTTTCAGAAATGAATAGTAAATATATATTGCCAATTTGCATCAGGTTTTTCAAGCACCAGCATTCTTTCCGACTATTCTTATTTGATTCGTTCATTGTATTAACATAGAAAACTAGGAGCTGGGCCGCTGTGAAAGCATAAAAGTCTTGTGCATGTAGTATGACGGAGATTTTTTTAATGCATGAGCACCAAAAACAGAGATAGGAGTGCACATATTTGGACAAATGAACAACAATCATCTAAAACTGTACCTTTTGGGGGGTGTCGGAGTTTTCAGTTCCGTTATATTTATATTCCTCTCATGTGATTTACGCATTAACCAGCTAATGGCACTGTACTGAGTGGTGGAGACAACACTTATGGACAACTTGGTAGGAAGTCAGGCTGGGCCAAATTGCTTCCTGTCGACATAAGCTACATCCCATTCTCTTTGTCAGCGAGTGCTGGCCACTCGCTTGCTCTGTGCCATATATCAACCAAAGGAACTGACAATGTTAAAACTGGTGTCCTATCATGGGGATGGAACTGCAGCTCCCAGCTTGGACGACCTGGTCAAGAGGATGCCCCAGCACTAGTCAACTATCTGGTTGGTGAGAAGCCAATAACAGCCGCAGCTGGCCGTGTTCATTCCATTGTTCTCATGTCGAACGGAGAAGTTTGGGCTTGGGGATCTGGACGAAATGGCAGACTAGGTTTGGGCAGCTCAATGGATGAGGCAGAGCCTTGTCTCATCGATACCTTGGAAGGAGTAGAGGTCTTACAAGTCGCCACAGGGATGGACCATAATCTCATATTGGTTAAAGAATAGGCTGGGCTGCTTCTTTAGGGAAGGATATTGATTGTTGCAATAGTCATTGGAACAGTTTTGCTATCAACTGGATGCGATCTTCAAACATAGTTATGAACTTATGATGCTAACTACTACTCACACGCTTTCAAAATTGTGTCTGCCACCTTCCACTTCCATGTAATGTTTCCCATGTATTTATGCTCGTCCATCATGGTAAATATTTGTGTTGGCATCATCTCTGGTGGTGATACTGGAGTTTGACGGGTTTTTTGGTCTTGGAAGGGAAAATGTTTAGATAGTTCATGTGCATTCCCAGGCTTCCTCCTGTGCAATTCTTTAGCTTGTCTGTTTACATGTACATACGTTTTAATCCTATTGCGAATGTTCTACTGTAATTTGCTAACATCTCGGCTCTCCAATGGACTAGTAAAAGTAGTACCGTTGGTTTGTTAAAAAAAAATCTAATCATGTAATTCTTCTACATTCAAAAGCTTTAAGTAAGCAAACTCTTAGATATCCAGAAAATTGTGTTTTGAATTGTGTAATAAGCACTTTCCTAGCATAAGAAAACATTTTTAGAAGGTGGTGTTGTATAGTGATAAATTTTGAACTTTGGTATCTTTTTTACATTGTTGTTGTTTGTGTAATTATTTCTGAACATATTGCCACAGCTAGTGATGTCCATCAAAATTTGAGAGCATAGCCATTAGCTCAATTCAAAGACCATGGAGATTTAACTACTTGCCATGCATAGTACTCCCACCATTAATAATTACTTCCTCTGTCTCAAAATGTGGTGTCAAAAAATGTCTTACATTTTGAGACAATGGGAGTATATTGCATAATTTTGATTGTCCAACTTCAAGTTTTGACAAACAATAAGCAAATGATATGCATGTTACTTGACAAAACATCAATAGAATTGCGATTCTATTCGACAATGTTTTCTTTTCTAGTTGCCATTTGTAACGGCTAGCAATGCATTCTTTTCTTGTTTGCGACGACTAGCAATGTATTTGGAAAACAAATTCATGATCAAACTTTAAACTTGACCAATAAAAATGTGCTTGTACTTTTGAACAAAGGAGTAAACAAAGTGCAATCTGTATGCTCTAGAAAAGAAGTAACCTAAGTTTTATTTTTTTGAGGAAAAAGTAACCTAAGTTTCTCATGGGAAGTAGGGGTTCTTGGCAACGATAAGGCCCAACAAGCCGGGTAGCTATCCCTACTTCGAACCTAGTCCAATTCCCTGTGACTTCCACCAGCCGCTCCTACAATGCTTCTCGTTTCCTCCCTGCCCCGCCTCTGTTCTCATCGACCGACGAGCAGCACGCTCGCCGCAGCCCTCCAATCCTGTTACTGGCCATATGCGTTCTAATAAGCCGTCCCCAACCCAACTTTCCGTTGGCACCATTGCCTGGTTGTTGGAGGTAAGAGCGAGGCTGATTGGTTTGCTACCGATATTTGGCTAAGCCAACATTTGGCAAAATCAAAACTTGCCAACATTTGGCAACCTTTTGTGAGTTTGGCAAAAGAAATGGCATGCAACCAATCTCTAGCCAATATTTGGCAACAAACCAATTAGGTTGTTTACCGCCGGTTTGAGCCGAAATAACAACCGGCGAACCCGAGCCGAACCCAGCCTCCCAGGGGCACCTGGGGGCGCCGGCCGAAGCGAAAAGGCGCGTGGGCCCGCGCTGTCGACGACACCGGTCGATTTCCCGCAGTTTTCTCCCTCACGCCACTGCCGCCAATTCCACCCAGCTGAAGCAGAGGAAGGCGAGGGCGCCGATGGCAAGGCCACCCGGCATGTCGAACGCCAAGTGGAGGGCGGATGACGGATGTTCAGCGCGGGAGGCGGTTATCACCGACCGACGGAACAAGCTCAACGTCAAGAGGGCTAGGGACACGGTGGCGGCGGCAGAGCAGGGAGAGGTTTCTCGCGCGGGGATGAACCTTCCACCCGACCACGACGCACAAGCCGCGTGGGGGAGCGAGCAGAGCGTCGCGTCGCCGACCAACTTCTCGCCGCCCCCATCGCAATGGGGCTATGCACCCTCGCCTGGCTACTCCGACGGCGACACACATGGCGGTTTCAAAACCCAACATCACCTTCCCGCACAGGGCACCGCCGCGAGCCTCCCCATCCGGCTTGAACCCCGACCAGCGCACTCCCTTCCCCGCGTTCACCGTCGGCCTCCACACCCAGTACAACTACTCGCTGATGGCGTACTCAGCCTCGCCTACGCTGCCTCTGCGCCGGGGTGCCCTACCCTTCGCACACGGCTCGGCGCCACAGTTCAGCAGCACCGACGCCATCGACACCGACATGGACGAGATCATCACGAGCGGTTCGGTCGCCGCCGCTTCCTGTCTGGGTTCCACGCACAAGACGAAACGATGGACACCGCTGTCAACATGGACGACGAGCTCGACGATGCCGAGGAGGTGGAGGAGGAAGAACAGGCGGAGGAGGAGGCGGAGGAGGGGCGGAGACAAATGGCATGTGATCGTCAAGGAGGTCGCGGCTCGCCCGGAAAGCGGCGCCAACGTCGAGGGTCAGGTATGTCCAGCCGCCGGCTCTGTTCTTTCGCAATGTACGTCGCCGACACTTGTTCTTCGGTCGTGCAGATGGTTCGGATGTTCAACATGTATCATCAGGACAACAACGGCCAAGAGTTCAAGTTCCTTCACGTGTTCTCCAGGACCGAGTCGTGCCAGAAGTGGAGCGAGGCCCAGATCACCCTCGCCAAGGCCAAGGAGACGTACAAACCGGACGCGCCTGCCCCCGGGGCGGCAGATGGGCGCCCTGATGGCAACAAAAGAGCCAATGCGGCAAGAGACGCGACACCCGCTGCCGAACGACTGCAATCATCGATCGAGCAGTGCATCGCCGACGCCAAGAACAACGTTGCAAAGAGGGAGGAGAAATCCGAAGAGCGGTGGTCAGCGTTGATGATGAAGTAGGGCGCAAAGCTCGACCTTCTCAGGACCAACGTCGCCGCGGTAGACATGTCGACGATGGACGAGCAGGTCAAGGCTTGGTACCTGACGGAGCACGGCCTCATCTTGAACCAGATGCCCGGGCCGGCGTCGACCACCGCATCTACGCCCACGCCGACAGCAACGCCGATGCCCAGGCCCGAGAGATGAAGCAGTGCCGATGCCGACCACCAGCCCGAGCACAGAAGCCACGCGGACGCCGAGTACACCTGCGTCCACGCCTGCCCCGGCCAGTCCCACACCAGAGGAGCCCGCGTTTTCATGCATTTCGTGTCTATGTTTCCTTCGGTGAACTGTGTATGATGATCGCTGAACTTGTGGCGTTTTTTGGGCAGCGGGAAAGACAAGATTGATTTTTTGGGTGTCTGGGGGCCGAAACCTGGGGGCGCGGCTGGGAACTCGATCGCCCAGGGCGAAAAATTCGCTGGCGCAAACGCAAAAACATATTCGCCGGGTGTGCTGCGGGGCCAAATCAAGTGGAGATGCTCTAAGTATCACCACCAATGATACAATACTTATCTCCTTTTCATTTTTACAATAAGAAGAGATTTTCCCGCAAAAAAACAAGACATTTAAGATCCAAAATCACATGGTTGAAAACTGAAGTAAAACAAAGGTTGAAAAGAGATTATTCTTTTTAGCAGAGGTTGAGAAGAGATTTTTTTTTTGAGCGCCTGAGGTTGAGAAGAGATAAAGAAGGATTTTTTTTTGAGGAACAGGAAAGAAAGAAGTATGTCAAACTGGGCTTAGCTTAGACACACTCCGCAGCCCGGCCCAACCCAGCTAAAGAACCAGTCACTACTTTGGTTCTCACCAGGTGGGACCCGCTTGTCGGTCAGTACACACGAGCGGAGCGCCGAGGACTAACCGAGCAGGCGCGCAGCACAGCATCTGCCTCACCGGCGGCGGCGGCGGCGGCATGGGGATGGGCGGTCGAGGTGTGGTTGGCGACAGGTGGTCGCAGCGCGTCCTCTGGATGTGCGCCATCGGCAGCGCCGTGAGTAAGCACCTGAACCAAAACCCTAAACTATGGTGCTCCCTTACATTCCGTCTCCGCGTCCTCGTGGTTGCTCCGTGCCGCGATCTGATCTGATGGTTGCCGCTGCGCAGGCCTTTACTTCGTGGCGGTGGAGAGGCAGGCGCAGAACCGCGCGCGGGCGGTGTCCGAGGGCTTCAAGGGCCTGGACGGCGGAGGCGGAGGCGGCAGCCGTGGCGGGGAGGACGTGTGACTTTCGCGGCGCCGAGGTGAAAGGGCGTGTAGAGATGTGCCTTTCTGCTCGAAGCCTGAGACAAGTTAGAGTTTGCTTATCTGCTGCTTGTTCACAAGATTCACAGAATCGTTGCAATAAGAATGTACTGCTAATTGCTCCCTGTGTTGCTGTATGTCAATGTTTGGGGGCAAGAATTGTTATCTGACGACATGATGCTTTTTTGTGTAAAATGTGAGTTGGAAAATTCAGATTATGCTTCGTTTCATAACTGTGGCTCGTAAGTTTATCGAGCTTGTTGGGTTGCAACTTAAGAATTAGAACTTAGTCTAAAAAAACAATGGAGTATATAAGCAAATGCGAAATTTTCGTTTAGGTAATTCATAGATATAGGCTTGAGTTCCTGTATTTTCCATACTGTGATACTCTGTTTTACATTTCTCTAAAATGAGCCACTGTCTTTTAGGATTTTTTTGTGTGTATTCCTCGGTTGGGAAACCGAAAGGTAAACTAGGAGATGATCAACTTAAAATGAACATAATGGCCGCTCAGTGAGCACTACATTCTTTTCCTGCCTCAGTACCAATACTTGCTGCACCTCACTAATTGACTACTTTTGATCCTGATGGGCACTGGATGACAGACTCTAGTAATACTGATGAGGTCTATCAAATATGGAATAGTCCACCAACCCATCATACGCTGATTTCCGGCAGTTTTTTCTTCTCCCCTGCTTCTCTTTTACCCTTACTGAATGATAAGCTACTGCAAGTAGGGTTTGCATGCTTGAATCCTTTTCTGTCTGCA